AATGGATAGCGTAAATGCAGAGCAAAAAAGCAGAGATAGAACTCGAACCACCTGTGATTTTTTTGTTTTTGCAGAGTTGGTGATAATGATGCCGGTGAAGGCTCGCTTTACTTTTTCAAATTGTCAGAAGGATTTGTCCAGTTACTATTTTACCCCTACGTGTATTTGCTATTCTACATCTGACGGTTATCAATGGATTGTAATGGATGGCGGATCGGCTGGTTACTGACCGTTACTCACCAGTAGGTTACTTACGACAACTGCTCCCACAATTTACTTACTCGCTCGACAGAAAATGATTGATGCTATACTAAATGAACCAGTACAATCACTACTATTTAATCAATCTGTAACATACCATTTCCCAGACAAGCAAGCTTGAATGTACTCTTAACTTTATGCATTGAAATCCTTATTACACTATATATGAGATCTGCTACACCATTATATTCCATAACATACGCCAAATTTTTGCTGTTGATTTTCTTCCTCCAAACTGATGTACTGCCACTTCAAATACTAACTTCTACATTGCATATGTATAAATTGTAAACACCTTTGCACTAGGCTGGGAAACGGTGCGGTCTGGTCCAGATCAGACCATATACACGGTCTACGGTTCAGACCGAGAGGTTGAAGTATAGACCACATACTAGACCACAGATTATACGGTCCGGTCCAAACCACGTCTGTGCGATCTGGAATGGTCTGGTCCATATAGACCACACTCAACGAAAAATGAACAATTTGTTTAGTCAACTACACAAAAAATTGAACCAATAATAATAAAAAAAATTATTTTCCTTAAAACATTAATCCTAACATGCATGAATAAATTTGATACCATAAATCTTAGTACATAACAAAGATATCGAGTAAAAGCATCCCAACTTGCACCATAACGTTATAAACATTAATATAATGTCATATGGAGACACGATTATCTCTACTCTCTGGTTAAGTGTGGTTGTGAATGAAGGAAGGATGAGTTTCACAAAATTAAGGTTGAGATTTGGGTGTCGTTGTGGGAGTTGGGAGAGTGGTCGAATGAGTTGTTAACACGTATTGACAAGTCGGTTGGGTCCATGGTTTGGTCCGATAAACCGCGATCTAGACCAGACCAGATCAAGAGATCAAAACATAAAATAATACAGAACATGGACTAGACCAGACCATACTTAACGGTCTACGGTCCGGACCAAACTGTACGGTACGGTTTGTACCACGATTTTTCAAACAGTCTGATATATTTTCGCCCTACTCTACACACAGATTGAGAGTACATAAAATTGAAGAATATGTGGTCTCGAGTCTCCTGGCCAACTACACAAAAGACCTATACCATTTTGCCCATACCCATGGGTATTTTACTATCCAACTCAATTGGATTGGATATGAAATCCAAATAGATGGTATATGGTAAAATTTGATGGGTTTGTGGGTGGCTATACGGTCCAGTCCGGTTAAATTGTCACGAATTGATCCAATCCCGGTCCGGTCTTTTTGGGAATATAAGGACCAAAGATTGGATTGAATACAGTCCGATCTTGATCTGTTCCGGTCTTGACCCGGTCTGTTCCCAATTCAGTTTTGATTTTAGATTGAGCTTGTGGAAATTTGAGTGGCGGGAGACCTCACAAGGTGAGGAGGTGATTAGGTGTTGGGCTCTCTTATGCAGTCTTTATCCGGTTTTCGATCCGGTCTCAAACGGGTTTTTACCTCAAATCTAAGTCCGAAGATGGAATTGAATTGTTTTCTATTCGGTACAGTCCTGGTCTGGGTTATACGGTCCAGTTTTGGGTAAACCCAAAAAGCCAGGACCAAATAGCCAGCCTTAGGTTTGTACTCATACCCATTTACTTGAGTTGAGTTGGGCCTTAAACAAATGGATTTGGGCTTGTACTCATGCCCAAATGCAAATTATAGTTTGATATCTTAACTTAATAGATATGCATATTTAGTACCTAAATTTATTATTTTTGCATATAAGTCCTCCAAATATCGATAGAAAATTATATTTTAATACCTAAAATTTTTTGGTCTTACATTTTTGGTGGACCCGAAGAAAATTTTATTGGACGGAAACAACCCCACCCTGAGGTCACTCCGGTCACCCCGGGGTCAAATACCTTGGGTCACGTTGGAGTCACTCCGGCCACCCCGGGCTCACTTCGATCACCCCGGGGTCAAATATCTTGGGTCACCCAGCCCACCTTGGGGTCACTCAGGCCACCCTGGGGTCAAATACCTTGGGTCACCCAACCCAATTTGGGGTCACTCAGGCCACCCTATGGTCAAATACCTTAAGTCACCTAGCCCACCCCGGGGTCACTCCGGTCACCCGGGTCAAATACCTTGGGTCACTTTGGGATCACTCCGGCCACCCCGGGGTCAAATACCTTGGGTCACCTAGCCCACCCCGGGCTCACTCCGGTCACCCGGGTCAAATACCTTGGGTCACCGTGGGGTAACTCAAGCCACCCCGGGGTCAACTACCTTGGGTCACCTAGCCCACCCCGGGCTCACTCCGGTCACCCGGGTCAAATACCTTGGGTCACCGTGGGGTCACTCAGGCCACCCTGGGGTCAAATACCTTGGGTCACCTTTGGGTCACTCCGGCCACCCTAGGTCAAATACCTTGGGTCACTCCAGCCAACCCGGGGTCAAATACCTTGGGTCACCTTTGGGTCACTCCGGCCACCCGAGGTCAAATACCTTGGGGCACCTAGCCCACCTTGGGGTCACTCAGGCCACCTTGGGGTCAAATACCTTGGGTCACCTAGCCCACCCCGGGGTCACTCCGGTCACCCGGGTCAAATACCTTGGGTCACTTTGGGATCACTCCGGCCACCCCGGGGTCAAATACCTTGGGTCACCTTGGGGTCACTCAGGCCAACCCGGGGTCAAATACCTTGGGTCACCTTTGGGTCGCTCCGGCCACCCCGGGGTCAAATACCTAGGTCATCTCGGCTACCTTGTGATCTCCGCCCACCCCAGGTCACCTCAACCTGTGGCCACGTACCCCCGCAACGTGTCCACCGACCATACCACCAAGCTCGCGAAGGAGACACATACTCCTTTCATGTTCGCCTGGGAGCCTCTATAAAAGGCCACTTCGTCTCCAGATGGAGGTAAGCAAAAAATTCCCCATGCCTAGACTCGTGAACTCGCGCTATGACTAGCGCATATATTCATTCTCAACTCCATTCCCTCATCTTTCTTTTCGAGATCATATTCCTCTCCACTCAGCACCCTCACTAACTTGATCTTCGGAGAGTGTCCTCGCCGAGATCGGCTAGAGGACCCTTTTTGCAGGAGACGACCGGAGCTAACATCACGAGTAAAGTTCGAGGCGAAAGGTAGCCGTCGACCGACTCCGGTGCCCAGCATAAAAAATTCAACGTCGACTACAACCTCGACATCAACAATTTTGGTACCTAAACTTTTTAAATTTTACAAATATGTCAAATTTTTGTACGTGTAATTAAAACACCCTCAAGTAAATGGATATCCATATCTAACACATACCCATTTAGATTATGGAAGCAATATTCAAAGGAGTCGCTTGGATGGATTAATTGTCAATGTGAGTAACTCGATGCACCGTTCTGAACAATCTGCAACGCTATTCGCCCGACCCAAAACTCGATTAACCCACAACCCGATTTGACCGCAACCCGATTGAACCCGAACCCAATGAACCCACAACGTGACTAACTCGCAACCCGATTGAACCCGGATCCGATTGATCCCGAACCGATGAACCCACAACCCGACGAACCTAAAACTCGACTACCCAAACTCACCCGACCCGAACTCGCCGGATTGACACATATAGTCATTACTGCAGCTGTTGTTACTTCTTGCAACTTGATGTTCATCGGCGGCGATCTATCATGGTTGGTATGGGTGATATGCACATGTTGGATTATAAGTCAACCGCTTCATGCAGACTTCTGACTAACGGGCGTAATCTCAAGATTCTTGAAGCTGACCGAGTAAATGGTGTGCGTCAGCAGCCGGCGGATGAGGCTGTACAACTTTTTCTTTCTTTTTCTTGGGAGAGTTGAATGTTTCTACTGTTTTTCACCTTACAGAATGAAAGGAGGTTCGTCTGCCTCCTCAATCTGGAAGGGCCGGGCTGACCCGGAATGTGGATTGGGCCCGTTTGGGCTGATGATCCAAAGACGAGGATGCCGTGCAGCTCTGTTGCTTGCCCTCAATAAGAAATTTCTTCCCTCAGGCAGTCAGACTCTGACCGTGGAAACAAATTTGTCGAACCTAAAATTGACTATCTGGCTCTTCCCTTTCCCGTTCGAACAACCGTTGGATCTGTGTTACTGTCCACGTGTCGTGTTCGTGGCTCTTCACCGGTCAATTAATTCGTCGACCCAAAATTACCCTGAAATCTCAACCAGCAGGTACCATATACAATACGTTTCTTTTCTGAAGGAGTAGGGAAACCAGAAAATTGAACAAAGTACGAAAGAAGACTGCAGGTCAATGCACCCTCAGATGTATAGTTTACAGAGAGGAGGAGAGACTGAAAGAGGGAGAGGTTGAAGAAGACCGCAAGCCAACAAGCGGAGAAGATTGGAGCAAGAAAACTTATCGTAAAGGCTAAACAAGTAAGTCCACTGTAGAGAGGTAGATAGAAGTCTAGAGATAGACAGAGGCACAGAAAAACCTCTTGGTGGTGGTTTCCAGATCTCTAGAAGACGCAGCAGATTGCTTCTTCCAGTTCACGAACTTGACCTTTTGGTTCATCAATTCTGAACCTTCTTCTGCCATCGAGGATTCGTTGTATTTGTTTCGGTTCCCGATTTTGGGATTGCGGAATTTCTTTGATCTTCAAATCTCTTGGCTTCCTCAATTGCTACGACTAGCATCGAGAAGCGAGAAGCCACATGCTCAGTGTTTGCAGCTCATAATCAAGCTGAGTAGCTTGGGAAAACAAGGAGGAGAAGAAGATAAGAGAGGTGGGGGAATTCTGCGATGAAATGGGGGAAAGCGGTATTGGGACTGCGAATGCGGCCGCCTTGCACACAGCAATCAACTCCGTACAAGCGCTCGGGAGAGGGTTCGATGTCAACTTCGATACCCGCTTGTTGTACTGCAAAGGAATAGGTGGCTCGAGGTTACTCCAGATTGACCAGGATAGTACCAGAGATCTCTTTCTCTACGACGACGTTGTTGTCCCCCACGTTTCCAGGGACATCAGGAACTCTCCTGGCTCTCATGGTCGCCAGAGCTCTGGAGTCTGCACTTTCTCTGAGGTAAAAGAAAACGATCTCTCTTCTATTCTTGCACTCCTTTGTTTTCGCCAGATTGGGCTTCAGCTGCCGACTTTTGAATTAGAGTTTTGGGGCTTGTGGGAGTAGCTTCATCTCTATATTTATGTATATATGCGGCACTTAATGGAGTTGCTCTTGCAAATTGACTGCCTGGAGATGGACTAAGTTTACAGTAACAAGTGGTTATCTGCTTTAGCAGTTGTCAGTGGTGATGTTCAGTGCCACTATAAGGGGCTTCTAAGTGTGCCTGTTATCCATGATTCGAATAGCGGCCAACAATCCTCTTTGGTGATGCTTGTAATCCTTGTATGATTGGATTCCCTTAATACTATCGACAGTCTAATTTACATAATGATGATGCCTGCAGATGGTGGAGTATTTCAATAAAAAGACCGATCTATCAGGAAGTTCTCCTCTTGGTAGCTTCAATTCTGCGTTTAGCTTTAGTGGTTCCAAGCACATTGATGCTGCAATGACTAAGACCCTCTCCATGGATGGATATTACATTCCCCTTGCCAAGGTCGAGCTTTTCAGATCACCATTACTGTTGCAAGACAATGTGAAACGGGCTGTGCCAACTAGCTGGGATCCTGCTTCATTGGCTAGGTACGGGACATGAATTTTTTTATTGATGCATATTTATACCATCATGGTTTTCTTCTTTTCCTTTTCACTTCGTTCATGATTTCCATCTACTCTTGACAGCTTCATTGAAACTTTTGGCACACATGTTATTACTTCTGTCACTGTTGGTGGCAAGGATGTTATATATGTTAAACAACATCAATCTTCAGCTTTGTCAAAGATGGAGATGAAAAATTATGTCCAAGATATTGGAAATCAAAGGTTCTCTGACACAGAGGGTCACACGAGTTCAGGCCCATTGAAGATCAAGGATAAGGTTAGTTCCGGGACATCTGTTTATTTGTGCTCCTTTCTTTCTCATTTAGTTCTTGATCACAAGCAAGTTTTCCCCTCTGAATTTTACAGAGTGCTGATGCTGGAATCTTTAACAGCCAGGGCATATACCCACAACCCACCAGTGCACCATATCTGTCCGGGAAAGAGGTCTGCTTTTGATTCAAGATCTTGTTTCTACTAATTTTTTATCATTTGTCTTTTAATGTATCGGCTCCTTTAATTTAAGGTTGTGTCGCAATGTGTCAATGCAGGACGTGACAGTCATTTTCAGAAGGAGGGGTGGAGATGATCTGGAACAAAGCCATACCAGATGGGCAAGAACTGTGCGTTCTTCTCCAGATGTGGTTCATATGACTTTCGTTCCCATAACCGATCTTCTTAATGGAACTCCTGGAAAGGATCACCTAGCTCGAGCAATCAGTCTATATCTTGAATGTAAGGCCACTAGGTTGCTTCCTTTTTCTACTGGGACCAGTTAGAAAGGTCCATACTCCTGCTAACTGTTCCTTCTCTCTCCCCTCTTTCCTCTTATCATCATGCACAGACAAACCTCAGATTGAAGAGCTGAGGTATTTTCTGGAGTTTCAGATACCACGGATATGGGCTCCTGTACATGACAAAATTCCTGGCCACCAACGGAAGGAACCTGTTTGTCGGTTTCTGCATTTCAGCATAATGGGGCAAAAGCTGTATGTTAGCGAGGAGCAGGTATTGTGACCCTTCTACTTACCTACCAAGTGGCGTGTTTAAATGATTTTAGGAACTAAAATCCATGTCTTAGGAGAAGAGAATGAAAATTGTATCTGCTATTTTACAGAAAGTAGAGTTGACAAGATATGCAATATTTGTAGTAATAGAAAAGTGACTGGATTCTTTAATAGACAACTGAGTGAGTTCGGTGAATGACAATAGAGTTGACAATAGTTTTGGAATTGAGTTTTTTTTCCCCATAGTGGTGTGGTCTCTTGCTTTTAATGATTTGTGGCTTACCAGGTTGAGTAGTGGTTTTAGAAATCTAGATTTGAGTGTGTTTTACTCACTTTTCTGTGGTTTACATTACAGGAAGTATAGTTAGGTAACACACCCCCATAAGCTTGATCACATTCCTGAGCAGATGCTAAGACTTGTACTATTAGTTGTTACTATGACTCGCTAGTCGCTACCCTTCCACTTCCTGTGTGTCTAAGGGGCATCTTTTGCTTTTGCATCCCCGTAAAAATGTATTGAATTTTTCTCTTTATATAAGTTGACCTGCAATCTTAGCTCATCAATTTCACGATGAGATGAAACCCTCCTGCGTGCTTGGTGTTATGAGATATCATTAGTATGATCTATGTGAACTTTATGACTTGCCTTCTGATTGTTGTTTCTTGACTGACTTGACACTCCTACAGGTATCAGTAGGACGGAAGCCAGTAACAGGGTTAAGGTTATGCTTGGAAGGAGCCAAACAGAACCGACTGAGCATTCACGTTCAACACTTGGTATTACTTCCCAAAATCCTCCTCCCCTACTGGGACACACATGTGGCGATTGGTGCTCCCAAGTGGCAGGGCCCCGAGGAGCAGGACAGCCGATGGTTTGAGCCGGTTAAGTGGAAGAACTTCTCCCATGTCAGCACCGCACCGATAGAGAACCCTGAGAGCTTTATAGGCGACAATGTCGGGGTTCATGTGGTCACGGGAGCACAGCTTGGAGTGTGGGAGTTTGGGTCGAGAAATGTTTTGTACATGAAGCTTTTGTACTCACGGTTGCCAGGGTGTACAATACGGAGGTCGCTGTGGGACCATTGTCCCAGTGATAACAAGGTGAAGAAAGTTACAACCACTGTAAATAGCAGCAGCAGCAGCAGTGCAGGAGGGGATTCAAGCTCGGAGAACACGGCAGTGGGTAAGAAGTTGGCGAAGTTTGTGGATATGTCAGAGATGAGTAAAGGGCCGCAGGATCCGCCAGGGCATTGGTTGGTGACCGGTGGCAAGTTGGGAGTGGAGAAGGGGAAGATCGTGTTGAGAGTAAAGTACTCTCTGCTGAATTACTGAAGTCCAGAGATTGTAGGGTGGTTGAAGTTGCAGAAGAAGAATGATTGTGATGGGATTTGTAATGCAATGCAATGCTGTACCATATAAATTACATAAAGTGGAAGGATGATTTGTGTTTGAGTAGGTTGGGTGGGGATGATATGTTGATGTTGGCAAGAGTTTCACTTCATTCTGGTGAGGAGAAACTGCCGTTTTGCGTGATTGAATAGCTTTGAGTAGTGAATTTTTGTAGGGGATGTACGTATTGGGATTATGTCCCTTGGTGGGGGGATCCGAGGATTGGTTTGCCTTCGTTTTTAGTTTATGGAATAGTCGCGGGCATTAGGGGACGTCAATCGTTTACAGTTGCAGACGAGCTGAAGTTACCCAACCTTCTGGTCGTGTTCTTGATAGCAAAAAGTGTTCAATAGTCATTTGTCAATACCGCATGGCATCTATGCGCAAAAGTACTCCGCCTATGTGCGAAGCATGTGTTTACAATGGTCACAATCGCCGGATCGTGCATTGAGCTCTCATGGTTCAGTGATTATGTTAGAAATTCGGACCTACGCTTCTGCTCCATATCCGCCGGGGCCAACCTCACAAACCCCTTTGGTGGCAGTTGGACTGCAATTTTGTCGCGTGGTGGTGCACCCGTGGCGATCGGGCTTGCCGTTCCTGGTGGTTGCATAGACGCCGCCCCTAGCTTAGCTCTCTGGAGCTCAAACGTCCACCTGGTCCGCCTGTAGCCTTCTGGAACCGCCCCACACTTCCCTTATAGTTGGCTAAATCCTCCTTGCGACCTGCAAGTCTAAAAGCAACTCGCAGAGAGTCAGTGTAACACATGGAATATTGGGTTCAGGTTCGACCATATTAAATGAATTGTTGGATTGAGAGTTACGTACAAAAACCCCATGTAAAACCCAACCAGATTGAGGACCAGGACCTAATTAATCGACGTGGCCCAAATCGATCGTTGCCCGGCGGAAGGGTTGCAACATGAATTAAGAGTAATAATGATAATAATTAGTATTATTATTAGGTATGAGTATATATATATACACATAAAGTCAAAACAAACCCTAAACCAATTTGTTCCTAGTGGCAACCCAGAGAGAGAAAAAATCCTAGTTGTCAAATTCTTCCGTTCCTTCTCCACTACTGTGACGATCTAGGGAACTCGGCGTCTTGAGAGCTAAGAACAAGAGAGAGAAAGAGGGAACAGAGAAGGAAGAACAGAGAGAGAAGAGAGAGAAAGTAGATTAGGAGGGAAAAGTTGTTAGGATCCGTTGGATGCCATTACACGTGGCTACCCCGACGTATTTATACTGTTGTGGCCAAATTACAATATCAGTCCCAAACTTCTAATTATGTTCATTCTATCTTCTATTCTTTACAATTTAGTCCCAAACGTTACAACTGCCCTTCCCTTACAACCATGGTTGTCAAACCGGTTTCATGTCGGCCGGTTCAACCGGTATCGGTCAGCAAACCGGTTGGAAAGGGGCCGGTATTTAACTGTGGTCAAATCCGGTCAATGCCTGTCGGATCCGGTCAAATCCGAAAATTCCGGCCGGTTAGACCAGAAACCGGAATTTAATGTTACACACATTATGTCCAAAAATAAACATCCTCCATAGGATCTGAACCAAGTACCTCATGTTCATTTTAGTTTAACTTATACACCAGTAGGTTACAATCAATTTTGTTGTCTATATTAACCTTATATGTTATATACCTAATACTAAATTTTACACAAATCATTATAAACATTAATAAAATTTATTTAATAAAATTTTATTTTTAAGCATCTAATTGTTTAGTATTAGTTACCAATTCTTAGCTATAAATTATTTTGTGTGAAATAATTCTTCTAATTGCTTTTTCATGACGAATTTATTTGGAATTGAGGATTTCCATTTTCCTCATGTATTTTATTAAAACCGGCACAACCGACATGAATACTGGTTGTACAACCGGCACACCGGCATAAACCGGTTTGACAACCTTGCTTACAACCGACTTGTCCTCAAGTCGCAAATGCTGGAAACCTGAGCTTGAATTCGTCCAAGTACTCTCACGTAGCATCTTCTTCCATCTGGACAAACCAACAAACCAGAACCTGAGTTGTAGCTTGATTTGCTCTAGCCACAAATCTCTGAGCTAGAATCTCTGCAGGTTCCAATTTCAAGCTGCCTTGATCATCCAATGCTGGCAATGTAGGCTGCACTGTCACTGAAGTTCCTCGAGCCTTCTTGAGTAATGAGACGTGGAAGACAGGGTGGATGCTTATGCCTGGAGGTAGCTGCAACTTGTAGGCAACTTCTCCCATCTTCTGCAGGATCTCAAAAGGACAAAAAAACTTGGGAGCAAGCTTCTGGTTAGCTCCGTCCGCCACTGTCATTTGCCTTTAGGGTCGGAGCTTCAAATAAACCTTCTCCCCCACTTGAAAAGTTCTTTCAGTTCGGTGGGCATCAACCATATGTTGCTGTCGATTTTGAGCTTTGGCCAAATTATCCCTCAGAATCTCTACCAATCTCTGTTTTTGCTGGAGCCTATCAGCCACTGCTGCAATAACGGTAGATAGTGGATTCTGTATGGCAAAGTGAACTAGAGAGTAGCCATAAAGTGCTTCAAAATGTGTGATATGCAAACTAGAATGATAGTTAGTATAGTACCACCATTCCACTAATGTCAACCATGATGCCCAGGACTGTGGTGTGTGATGAATCATTCCCCTCAAGGAATCCTCCAAACAACGGTTGAGCCGTTCTGTTTTTCCATCTGTCTATGGATGGTAAGCAGTGGAGTAATGAAGTTGAACTCCTTGTAACTCGAATAACTTGGACCAAAACGAACTGGTAAAGACGGGATCCCTGTCGGAAACAATTGTTTGTGGCATACCATGCAACCAAAAAATGCCATCAAAGTACGCCCGAGCAATGGAACTGGCAGTGTAAGGTCGAGGGATACTGAAAAAATGACCATATTTAGAAAACTGATCCACCACCACCAGGATCACTTCCTTTCTATTGGACTTAGGAAGGCCTTCCACAAAATCTAAAGAGATATGCTGCCAAGCTCTGTCAGGTATGGGTAAAGGTTGCAACAAACATGGATATTTAACGTTCACAGTTTTACACCTTTGGCAAATGTCACAATCTGCTATGAAAGTCTTTAAGTCTCTCTTGAGTCTAGGCCACCAAAAATAGCTCTTAAGTCTTTGATATGTACCCTGCAAACCAGAATGACCTCCCACTGAAGAGTTATGGAACAAACTCATCAATTGCTATCTCATGGTACCTACAGCCCCTACAAAGATAGCTTCTTTGTGATACAACAACCCTTACCTAACAGAGTAGATCCTAGGACCAACAAATGGAATAGAAGCCTCATTTATAGTGCTTGCACTCAATGTAGTTAAACTATAGTTTTTATGTATAAGCGAAATGATGGGTACAAACTTAAGCGTAAAAGCGGAGCGTAAGAACGTAAGTTTATATGAACCATTGAAATTGTAAAAAAGCAACTTAAAAGACTAATAGGATTCACACACAGAAAATTGGAAAAGATTTTGAACTAGAGTACATTCTAACTCAGAACAAGTTCATAAACATAGAAAAAGAGTTGAATCGTACGCTAATATGAATCATAACTCTGAAATATTCATATTATGGACATCACAAGCCCCCCAAAAAAATTGATCATGATTTATGCTACATTTGGGCAGTAACGTCCACATTTCCATCCAAATCATATCATCTTAATTACCGCCATCATCATAGTTGTTATTGTCACTAACATCATGCTCCTCATAAATACATCAATCATCATTCATGTTAAAAGAATCATTTTGAAGCCAGCGGCATGATCACTTTAGTTTTTTCATCCACAAAAAACCATTTGACCATCGCACGACGTGCCAAATCGCTCCATAAACATTATCATTAAAAGCTCTTATAAGCGTCCTAAAAGCTAGCTTTTAAGGATTTTTTATGCACATATTGTGGTTTTAAAGAGTTTATATTAAGCTTATGGTGTCAAAAGATTTTTCAAAGAAAATTACTATATTGGAGGAGGTAAGAACTTAAAAGCGTAAGCTTTTAGGCTCAAACTATAGCTTTTAACTACATTGCTTGCACTTCAGTGTCCCCAATGTAAGGTCACTCCAGTTCTGCCAACCAGGCAGGAAGAACAGGAATAACAGCCTGGCAAGTGCCCTTAGACTCAAAGCTAGGATGTCTTGATAATGAATCTGTTACCTTATTGAAGGGACCCTGCCTGTATTTAATCTCAAAATCCAATCCCAGTAGTTTAACCAACCCCTTCTTCTGAATCTGTGTACGAATCTTTTGGCCAAGCAAATGCTTGAGGCTTTCAATATTTGTAACAATAGTGAACTGCCTTCCCTTCAAATAATGGCTCCACTTGCCTACTGCCAATAGAACTGCTAAGTACTCTGACTCGCTAAAACACAACACCACACTGCGACCAAGTGTAATCGCAGAATGGGACTGCAGTATAGTGGCTCAAGTGATAAATATAGAATCCACGGGTCTCTAGAGTTACTATTACTCAGCTTCAGTTTATTATTTAGCAAATCAGATTAAGATGAAAGAACTAAAACTACTCTAGCAAACTACAGTTAAAGTTAATCTAATTACAGGTTGGGAACTCACTTAGGTATGATTCCCCCTAGCCACTAGCCAGATTAACGATTGATGATCTCTAACCTGTTTCACTTTCATTCACAATGCGGAGAATCCTTGACTAGACCTTGAGTCTCGACTAAAGGAACAAGGCCCTCTTGAGTCAATTGCCTAGAGGGACGTATCCTTCTCTAGAACAACTGATCAAGGCGTTCTGAACTAGACTCACTCTATCGAAAGGGGTTCTCAATCGATACAAAGTAGTGAATCAACCCTCGACTAAAGCAATCGATCCACTACTATCAATCTATGGTGCTCTATTGACCTAATCAGGTATTCCCTCTCATAGGATCAAAGCAGAATCAATAATCT